CCGATTTTCATTGTATTGAAAATTCACTGGAACAATATATTATAACACCATGTTTATAAAGAATTTGATGGAACAAAAAGCTTCGTTCCTCATACAGAGAGTTCATTATTGCGAGGTTCGACTGCTGTTTGCTTTTAATGGAACTTAACTAAAAATATATAGCATCTATATTTGTTTGCCTTAAGTTGGGGGAGCTGGACTGCATTCCATCATTTGATAAGGGCAAAATTCCGTTCTAGTTGGCAGCACTTCGAGCGTCTGAATTCAAGACTTCGACTTTTTGAATGAACAAATTTTAAACAATACCTACATTCCACATAGGCATTACAGCCCAAAGATAACTGCTTTGTTCGCGATTCTAACCTGAAGCCAATAGCCAATAGTCAGCTTCCATCAGCTGGCATATCGTCTAAAATCATTGAGATCCAGAAACTCAAAATGTAATTCAACTGTAAGGCAGGGGCGGATGAGGCTATCGAGAATTCGGGAAATTTCCCGAATTTGCCGGTGCCGTTAAGTTCGCTTTGTCACTTGATATCCTATAGTTAAAAAAATCTGACATGACCACATGACTTTCTTGTACGGAATATTAAATTATACGCATCTTTTCCTGCATTTCATTTAAACTTATTGCATTGATTAAATCTACTCGTCGAAAGCGCATGAACCACAATAGAATAAATGCGCTTTTTTAAATTCACTATATTTATTTATCATAGCGACATCTGGCGCTAAGGTTCACTTAACAGCGTACATCTCATCATTTTAACTCAGAATGCAAAAACTATATCATCTATAGAATATCTCATTGTGCGGCAGTTCATGAATAAAATCATAAATAAAAATCAGATAAAAGAAATAAGGTTTTCAACAGTTTTCACAGAACCTCAGCGCTGCTTACCTAATGTGCATGCTACTCGAACTTCTCCTGTCCAAATAAAAATAAACAATTAATTACTTTCTACGCAAAACAACCAAATCGGCAGCATGAAAGAAGCAGAATTTCGGGCACAAAACTGAAAATTACTTTTGTCTGATTCGGCAACAAGCACTGAGCCGAGAAATGACAATTTGTGTGGACGCATCTGAGTCAATACATGGGATCTTTTAAAAATTAAATGATAATTTTAGAATGGTTAAGCATATTAATTCGCAATTATAAAAGAAGACTTTACGTTGTGTTGCGAAGCTTAGTTCCAGCTAGATTGGCAACAATTCCCTATCTTGCTAAGTTTCAAATTAAGAATGGCTGCTATGGCGAAATAAAATTAGGCTTAAGGGCACTTAAACAACTTTTAAATTGTTGCCATTTCTACAACTAATGCATGCAGATTAACTAAATGCATAAAATCCTTAACCGGGACATAAAAACAACATAATTCAATCATTTTTAAAGCAAAAAACGCACAATTTACAAACATATAAGAATAAAGAAACCGAGCTAACTGAGCCGAGTAACAGAGTGGATATATGTATATAACTTTTCGTGCGGCCGATTGCAACCAAAATAGGAGATGCACATCTACATGTTATACTCGTTTTTGAGTTATGGAGATACATACATAGTTGCGCACGTATACGTACGTACAGATGTCCTGAAAAAATCTCTTCAGAATCCATTTTAAATCAGTTTTATAATTTTTTTTTGGGGGGAAAGGGTCTTTTATTCTGTCCTTCCGTACATATGTCATGCAAAAACATCGTTAAATTGCATTCGTTAATGATCAAAATTGATAATTTCGTTGAAATAGAATACCCGAAATTTTTAGCGATTACAATACTTCCTTTTTATTTCATGCAGGGAAGTAAAAAGGATAAAACATCAGTCATGAGTGCAAGATTCAAGGAACAAAAACAATTAAATCATCGAAAGAAAAAGCAAAAAACGCACAATTTACAAACAATATTTAATTATACTACATAAATAAATCTGAAAGATAAACTAATGGTAAAAGTATTAAACTCATTGTGTGAACTCCATCGTTGTTAGCTCATGGTAAATTTATAACTGATACATCTAATTCTTTACTCCACAACATAAAAAGTTAGAAATTTTCATGCGCCGTCACTCCAAAGCTATCGTAACAATGCCGGCGCCTTTAGTCGACTGTTTCACTTAAATCTTGACACGGCATCCAACATCTTGATGAAGGTTTCATTCTTATGTTATAAACTGAAGTTCATAAAAATGTCAGATATTCCTTGCGTCTTCGCGAACAATGGCTAACCAAAAAAAGGTGCCGGATCAGATTAGCCCCATCCGCACCGTTATTTACATTTCGTAGGATATGGCATGAACGGATCCAAATAACGTAAATGAACAATTAATTTGAACATGAACATGTTTTTTTTTTACTTCCTAGGATAAATGTTTACTTTTCAGAGTAGCAGTAATAATATAAACATACTTTTAGGTCTGCATTATGATTTTTATCATAATTAATGAATTGGGTATTTTGCATCATAAAATAAATTTATCATTTATACTTTCTCCAATTAGCCTCACAAATTTTAAAGCGGAAACAAATATGACTAAGATGATAAAATACTATTTTAAAATTGTATATATGCCGTGTGCACAAAGGTTCGCACCCAATCTTTATTTCCGCAAGGTCGTAAAATTACACTTCCAGTTACAAAAAATGTTTTATATTCCGCAAAAGGTTCATGTTTTGGCATTTTTAAAGTTGAGAACATCAGTTTTGTAAACATTATAAAATCTAATTTTTTTATACGTTCCTGCTGTGCTTATTAAAAATAAAACACAAAATGTTTGAGAAACATGTGGCAAAATTTGACCGAAATATTTAATTTCAAAATTTGCCATTAATGACTTCATTTTCAATTTGCATTGAAAGGTCGGTTACTAAATAAATTGGAACAATTCAAGTTTGATTTCCCTCCCTTAAATGCCATTCAATTATACTTTAAATTTTGTTATATTTGGTATGCCGAAAGAATTTTCCCATGAGTAATTTCTTAGTTTTCATACTTTAAAAATATGTTATTAATGTTCTTATGAAATTTTAATACTTTAGAATAATAATCTAATATTCCTATAAAAATTCATTAAACTGCAAATATTTTTTGTTCTTAATTACTGCAAATAATATTACAGGTTGGCTACCTGCCAGTACTGAAGCCTCTCAGTGTTTTCTAGAACACGAATTCTGTAAGATTCTTTGAATAAGATTTCCATTCTGAAAAACAATTACATTGATCTGTAGACTTTTCCTAATAATCTGCATAGAAATGTTCTTCTTTTTATAACAGAAACCTTTTTTTAAACTGACATCTTATTTTTACTTCCTTGTACGAAGTAAAGGATGCATTGTAATCACGAAAAATTCCGGGTATCATATTTCAACGAAAATACCCATTTTAACCGCTATCGAATGCAATTAAGCTATGTTTTTGCGTGACAGCTGTACGTAAGGACAGAGTAATGGAACCCTTTTTCCCAAAACGGATTATAAAATGGATTCAGAAGAGATTTTTTCGTGACATCTGTATGTACATAGGTATGTATGTATCTGGCATAAGTGAAAAACAAGTAGCCTCAGAACGTTGAAATTTTGTATATAGGACTGCTACAGCATGTAACTGTGCACTTCGCTTTTTGGTTCAAATCGGCCACAGGAAACGAATATACCCACTCTGTTACTCGGCTCGGTTAGCTCAGTTTTTTTTTTTTTCTTTTTACTCTTATATATTGGCAAATTGTGCACTTTTTACTTTAAAAGTGATTGAATTATGTTGTTCTTATGTTCCGATTAAGGTTTCTATGCCTTCAGTTAATCTGCATGCAATAGTTGTACAATTTTCAACAATTTAAAAGTCGTTTAAGTGTGACTGAGCTTAATAGAGCAGCCTTATTTGCTTATATTTAAACCTTAGCAGAACAGTGAATTACGTCAGTTTCTGCACTTTATGTCTTTTTGCCGAGTGGAACCAAAAGTAAATTTTTAGTTTTGTGCACCGAAAAACCTGCCTTTTTACTCGCTGGCCGAATTGCTTGTTTTTGCGCAGAAACTCTAGTTTTAATTTTTTTTTCTGTTTTAACTGTATTTGGTGTTTTATGTTTTTCTACATTTTTCAATTTTTAAAGATGTTTCGAGTTTTTATGTATTTTTGCGTTGCCGCAAAGTGAGAATAAAGATTTATTATTAATAATAATATTAATATATAGACATTAATATAAAATTAATAATAATAATGAATTAAATGAGAATTATATCTCTAAAATAAGTTTAAATGAAATGCAACAAAAAATAGGCATAATTTAATAGGCCGTACAAAACAGTCATGTGGTGTCCATATCCAATTTTTAATAACGCACAAATGCAAATATTTAGCTCTTCATTTGTGTATATCCCTGAATATCATGTTCAAGTTTAATACAAAATATCTCAGTAAATTTTTGTCGTATGGTAGTCAAAACTTGTGTGTTTGATTTCTTATAATGAGCACAAAAATTTCCTAAATATAAGAAAGTATAGGGTCTGGAGGAACATATAAAAGGTTAAGTTTAGTAATGTTTACAAAATTGATTTCTTTAAATATAAAACTGCCAAAATATGAATGCTTGCGTAATTAAAAACATTTCTGTAGTTGAAAAATATGTCTGTGACCAATGAGAGAGAAAATAAATATCCGGTAAGGAGTTTTGTGGACATGGTGTACTATAGTACACTATATTTATGCATTTTATATCGATATTTAAATTTAAAGTATGAAGCAAATTAAACAAATAAATTATTAAATAATAAAATTATTATTAATTATTTAAAGTAGTTACCTAAATAAGTTTGAATGCGAACTGGCAGTTCTGTTGTTAAAATATCAGTATGAAACAATTCCAGAACACGTTAAAATATGAAAGTTTCAGTATGAAAATACAAAATGGAAATATACTTTGCTAAACGTTTCATAAGCATAGACGAGCTAAGTGTTATATCATATTAAAACTAATATATATTTTCTCTCCCTGTTTCCTTCAGCAAATGCCGGATATGCCGTTTACAAATCCATTCCATTCGGTACAATAGATGAAGTCCTACCTTATATAGCAAGAAGAGCAATTGAAAATAAGAGTGTGATAGAAGGTGGGAGAAAAGAACTAAGTTTACTCAAGAGTGAACTCTCACGTCGGACCCTGGGTATCTTCAAATGCAAAGCATCACATTCCAGAAGTTAAATTTCCGAAAGCAAAATTTGCAAGATCTGGATTGCATAATTTGCAACTGAATTTGCACAATCGAGATCGCTGAAGAATGAAAAATAGATTATGCTATTAAAGGAAAACATATATTCCAAATAATTTTTTAAAAAAACACTAATTATACTATTAGCTAGGTATTTAAAATGAATATCAATAACTTCTAAAACACTAATTGTCTAACGTAATTAATTACACTCATGTCCATAAATTAAGGATAATGCAAAATTAGGCAAAGGAAGAGTTAGAAGCAAAACAAATTTGACTTATTTGTAAAGCTTATTATTAAACAAAGGTAAGAGCAAAAAAAAAAAAAAAAAAAAAAAAATGCTATATGTTTATATTATTAGAAAAATTAGCGATTTTTTCTCCCGGAGCAAATACAAAAAAAAAAACCTATTTACAAAAACCAATATTACATGGTTGGTATGATTGTTAATGAATTGTATGTCTCCTAGACGATGCAATACAGTCCGTACAACGCCTAGGCATGCTGAGTATCAAATTATCGATCTGATTTTGGGGGATATTACACCACTCAAAAAGCAATGCTCTCCGAAATTCCAGTAGACATGTAGGAGGAGGTTGACGGACTGCAACTCTTCGGCCAAGCATGTCCCACACGTGCTCTACTGGATTAGAGTCCGGTGAGAATGCTGGCCAGTCCATACGGGCGATATCCTCCGATTGAAGGCATTCGCTTACGATGTTTGCACGGTGAGGACGGGCGTTGTCATCCATAAATACGTACGTTTGTTTCGGGGCCCATGGCGCCCCGAAACAAACGTACATGTTGTTCCAGAATGACGTCCCAATAGATTTAGCTTGTCATGGTTCCAATTTGAACATGCAGGTCAGTTCTGGAACCCAGCGAATTAGCGATTCAGTTCTGGAACCCGGCGAATTCCACCCCAAACGAGCACTCCTGCACCACCGTAACGGTGTCGTTTAATGATGTTTTCTTGGTGGGAACGGGTACCTGGAGCTCTCCATATGAAAGTCCGGCGAGAATCAGACTGCATGCTAAACCTGGACTCGTCGGAAAACATCACATAAGCCCACTGTTGCGGTGTCCACAATGCATCTCTTTACTCCAGGCTAACCGCAGGCGACAGTGAGTTGCAGTAAGTGGAACGCATCTGACAGGTCTACGAGCATATAGACCAATCTGGCCGAAACGTCTGTACACGGTCTACCTTGAAATTATCGTACCAGTGGCTGAAGAGAGCTGACGAGACAGGTCTGAGGCTGTGCTCCGCCTGTTTCTTTTGGCAGTAACTGCAAAATACCGGTCCTCATTCGGCGTTGTAACTCTGGGGCAACCTGTGATGTAACGTCTACTCACATTACCATCATCTTGGAATCGTTGCCAAAGCCTGGAGATGACACTCTGGGCAATTCCAAGTTCGTCTGATACTTCCAGTTGGGTACGCCCACATTCCAGACGGCCGATAATTCTACCACGTAAAAAATCATCCAAATGCGTCCTTTGTGTCCTAACTATTCGGTTATTGCACTGAAATGCTTATAAAGCGCCTGCGAACAATTTTACTTCTTTGCCTGTATTCCTTATATATCACTCTCTTACACTCTCGTCATGTGACGTACCATCGGTGTCATCTGATTATTCCTGAAATTTGCATATGATTCTTGAAGATGTGTGTAGTGATTTTACAGGTGATATATTTATTTTAGAGTTCGATTTCCGCATGACTCCGAATTATCCTTAATTTATGGACATGAGAGTACATTCTCTTAAATCGGTTATTTTGCTACATATTATATTCAGCATTAAATTCAATATAATTTAGAAATATACGGCAGGATTTAAAATATTTAGGAACTGGTGCGTTAGGCAACGTACATGTGTGACAGATCTACTGAGGTTTTTTTCAACTAAGTATGATATAATCCTATTTTGCTGAAGAGCAGTACATCAAATGCCACCGTAGTCACATCTAAGCATTCTGAGGCCGTTATTTAACGATGTGTTATTAACAGGAATGATATCTGTTGTGCAGCATGTAAGCCTTGTGTTTTATGTACGTTTGATTAATTGCCAAATGAAACATGTGAAATATTTAAAAATGTTTATAATAAAGCTGTGTCTTTAATGACATCAAGGAGAGCTGAGGATACCCAATAGTATGATCTCTTGAAATTTCTCAAGTAGGCTATCACATAAGAAACAATCCAGAACATAGCTGTTGTCGAGATAAATGAAATGAAATGTCAGTGCATTAATAATAGGTTTTGACATGCTTTTGGTCTGTCTCACATATGATGATGGAAGATTGTTTTTGGCAAAGCTAATGAAACAGACCAGTTTACAGCCGCTGATAACAAAGACCTTCAGCTTTTTAGCAAAATCATAACAAGAGAAAGAATGATGTTTTTGCCCAATTATGCAACCAGGGGCCTTCAACTCTGCTGAAGTTGGTAGTTTTCCCAAGTAAAATAGAATTTTGTAAAGATCATATCAAACCGAAGATCATGCAAGATAGTGTTTTGAAGTTAAATGCATTGTTCACTATGAAATTTGTATCTCTTAGTCATGGACACTGTTACACGCCAAACATTCCATCTTCAGGTCTCACCTTGTATCCGAATTTCTTTGCGAAAGCAGGAAGTCTACATCCTACGCATTCCTAGTGTATGAAATCAAAGGCATCTCCTCTCAAATGTCACTGGCTGTAGCAGTCAGTACATCCGGCGGTATATTTCGTAAGTGTACATCAGTATCGCCATCGAAGAAATGGCTTTTAGAATGGACCAATCGATCAACATATATCTGTCATTTCACATGATCTTTGCCTCGCTTTAAGCAAAATGGTTGAAAATGTTTTGCCAGACAATTTCATATAGGAAATATAGTTAAAGCATTGTGGATTTTTTGTAAAACTTTTCAGTGCGATGTTAGATCAAATATAAACATAATTTTTTATATATGTAAATAGTAGAAGTCTTAGTATTTTTTATTGCAGTTTGTATGAAAAGAATGTTCTGTAATAAGAACCAATGCACAGTTTTATTCAAAATGAACTTTCGTAATTTGCATTCCTACGCATTTAGTGTGTTAAATTTCACATTAATAACTGTTCACTCTTAAATGTATCGCCTGCACAAGAAATACTCTTCAAACAGAATGAAATTATCTTATTCGCAACGAATATATTTAATTTATTCATATATAACTTTTTAACGTTAACAATAGGTAACGTTAATCAGATCCTTCCCATTATATATTTTGAATCTTACACTTTCAAGATCAAAGGAATGCAAACGTGGAGATAAGAAAACACTAGATTCATTATAACACTTCCAGTTATTCTCAGCTCAATAAAATAATTATACACTTAAATTCTCTTAACCCACAAGTGATTAAATGCATAATATTCCAGGCTAATTGTAGCTTGAGTCATTTTTTCGATATAAAGAGCGAAAACATGGCCAGAACATTAATCCGAATATCAGTGCGTGATGAGTTTCGCGAAAGTGAAATGTCGACGATTAAATAACCTTATAAAATGAAAGTACTACGAGATTTTCTACTAAACAGCTGATAGCAGCATTTATACGCCACACATTTATAATTGAGAAACAAGTGCAAAATAAAACGTAAAAACACAACATACGCTCATATAGTACATATTTTCAAAGATTCATCGTCACAAGATCAAGAGAAGCTTATTGGTCCATTTTTTGAAACCCCTCCTGCAATGGCGATACTGATGTGCACGTGTGAATTATGCCATCCGGCGAGCGTATCGGTTCAGCTCCCAGTGACAATACGGTTGAATTTTTAGTCCAAAGGGATTTGAATCCCGAAGGACTATTAAGCCCCGTTCACATGCAACGCTCCTTCGCACAGCTGCCGTTAGCAAGAGGAGAAAAAGAAGATATCAAAGAGTTTCGTCTTTAGAAACCCGTTCAGAAGACCACCATCTTCCTTCCTAAGCCTCTGTGAACAATCACGTCTCCGAATTGTTCGATTTCTAATACTGTTTACACATTTTTAACGTTGTTTACTGTTGTTAATTTTGTAATCTATACTTTCGCAACTGGTACCTGAACCTTCGTAATGGTTTCTGAAAAATATATGCTTTTTAATTATTATTATTATTATTTTATAAGCTGTTATTTAGTTCACTCTTGGTGCTTGTCGCTATGGTTAAAAGATGGTCATGGATTTTTAAACTGCTTCCCGATAAGATATAGAACTCAAACTTTGTACATGCACTGCTTGTGGATGTGGTGTCATGCTTTTGATTTTTAGAGGATTAGATTTTTTTCTATGAAATGAAATTTTTAGCGTAATTTTTTAAAAAATATTTTAGAATTTTTGAAAATCGTTCATATTTTTAGACTTTTTGACGCCCATTAATTTTAAAATTTCATGTCTAAAAATATATCGGTTACAAACTTTCACAGCTTATAAAACAAACTTTTCGCATTTAAATAAATGATAAAGGAAATTAATTGGATGATGTTTTGACTTTTTTAAAAGATATGCAATGAAACAGAATGGGAAATATTGGTTCTTCTTGGGCATCAATTCGAAACATTGGTTTCAAAGTAATAATCTCATTATACCACACTATTTTTATGACATTATTTATAAGTTGTTATTGTTGCCAGTTTATTAGTTCAGAGATTGGGGATATTTATGAGCTTTTTCTTAAGATGCGTTTTGCATTCCGTTGTGCTTAACGTTCTTATTAGATTGAAGCATAATAATTACTGATTAGACTTAGTGATATTCTAAACTCTTGTACGAGTATTTCTGTCGAAAATTCCAGAACTTTGGAGTGTTTCTGTTGATAAAATAAATTTAATTAAGCTATCATCGGATTTGATTGCAATAACAATCCTTTACGAACTATTATCAATCTGTTACAAACCCGTACGCACGCAGCAATATTATAATTAATTAATGTATTAAAATTGTTTTGAACGTGTTTTACAAAACAAAAGCAGGTAAAGAAAAATTCTGCTTGTTTATGATATTTTGCAATTTTTATGGCCATATAAAATTTTAAAAAAGGGTTTGTAATTTATGTTTATATTTACCAATTGAATAAATATCACTAGGTTTGATTTATATATATATATATATATGTGTGTGTGTGTACTGAAATTCAAATACAGTGTTTTGAATCAATACTGTTTCAAAATTTAAGCAACAGCAGGGTATTTTGCCATAACTCCACGAGAAATCAACTGAGAGACATGAAATGCAGAAATGAAGGAGAGTATTATGTACGTAAAGGACGACGAAAACATCGGAACTGAAAAAGGAATACAATGC